ACATTGTGGAGCAACATGACCACGTTTTATGCAAATGTAATATGTTATATTATTATTCTGATTATTTCTGATATTTGATGAATTTTGACAAGCTTCTTCTTGCAAAGCAAAGTCAATCGCATCTTTGATATCAGCAAATCGACAACATTTTACTAAAGTTTTTAACGGTTCTCTTAAGCCATTTTCCTATTGAATTTATATTTGAATAATAAATTTGTCGTAAAATTTCTTCTTTTCTGTCTTCAAAATTTTTTACTGTTTCGTTATATTTTTGTTTTAAATTATTTGATTCGTTTAATAAACTAGAAATGGGTTTTTTTCTTTAGCTAAATAACATTTCAAATCTTCCCACGTTTCAAAATTAATAAATTTGATTTTTGCAAAAATTTGTGGGTTTAATTTCAATTTTATGACTGTAAGCAATTTTTCCGCTTCTGATGGATTCAAATCCACCGACAATGCATCACAGCAGTAATGAATGAAGGAAGATTTGAAGGTTCCCTATTGAAATTCGGGATTAAAGCAATAGCAGTTTGAATATTTAATTTACTTTCGCGTGACCTATCGGTTGGTTCATTCATTTTGAAAAGTATGTGTAAAACTACTAAAACAGAAGCGTAAAAATTTACAAAAATATATTAAAAATTAGCTTACTGACAATGAGTCTTAATTTAATATCCTTCTGGTTCACTCGAATTTATAATCACTTGAACTTTTGTAACACTTGAACAATGATTTGTATCACTTTCTCATAACACTTTTATTTGATTTTTCACCTTTGATTTTTCACTTGAAAATATAACACTTAAACTTCTCGATTCTTGTTTCTTGATTGGATTATCTTGTTTATTCCTCGTCTCTCGTTGAAAAATTATCTTTTCTTGTTTCTTGATTCTTGACTTGATTTTCTTGTTTCTTCTTGACACGATTCTTAGAAATTCTTCTTTATAGATTCTTGTTTATATATCTTTATACTTTGATTAAATTCTCGATTTCTTGATTCTTATAATACTTGATTCTTGATTATTGTAAGATTTAATTTCTTTTCGATTCTTGATTCTTTGGAGTCTTTAGTTTGTAGTTCCACTGATATTTCCACTTTCGGTAAAGCTTCTCACCGTTTTTTGAATCTAATTATTGCTTTACTACCGGCGTATTTTCCCAAATATCCGTTTTACAAGTATGCAATAATTCTATGTTCAAAACATGTTATGGTGTATTCCCTTACAAGGAAGTTAGCACTTTTTTAAAAAAAAAATTCACAGATCCCACATGAACACTAAATTATGTTGTAGTGAGTACCTTTAGCATTTTTTATATAGAAAAAAAATTCGCAGAATCCCACACTGCCACCAATTAATGTTGTACACCCTTGAGCTAACAACAAATATGTTGAGATCCCAACTCTGGTACCAAATGTTGTAGATTCGCCGTTGCCAATAATTATGTTGCGTCACGCCAACGATGTCAACATTTATAATTAGGTTCTTCTGCTACTAAACTTAAGCCTTTATCACTGTGGAAATTTTTGATAAAACATTTGAAGACGTTTATTAACTTTATTTACTTCATTATTCGGTTACACTTGATTACAAATTAATACACAATTAATATATTGAGGTGAAGACTGATGTGGAGTGATTGAAAACTGGACTAGGAATGAACGGTTATTTCATCATCTCAGAGTTTTTATAACCTTCCCAAGATGACGTAATCACCTTCTAGAAATGTTCGTTAAATATGAATCATTCTGTTTATCTGAGACGCAAAACCTTACAAAAACCGTTACTTTGACTTGCACGTGCGTCTAATCTCTGCATGCAATGTTGCAAGGCTATGAGTCATGCTAACTGCGTTGTTCATATTGACTGTTATATAGAATTTATAATTATTACAAAGGGCAGATACCACTACAATATATATATATATATATATATATATATATATATAATATCTTGAGGATTTTTTGTTCGACGTTGAAACATATTGAAATGAATAAAACAGCCAATGCGTCGAATGTAAAGAATTTATTTTAATTTTTTATACGTTTCGAGACTAGATGTGTCTCGTCATTCAGCTAAAAGAAATTTACATTATAAAGAAAAAGTTTTAAAAAATGAATTTATATTGGAAAAATTAATTGAAAACAACAATTATACACACCAGATCAGGAAAAACCACACTAATTAACACATTTTTCAACACCACAATCACATATTACTACTGTAGGAAAGCAAAAATAATTTAAGAAAAGACCAAAAAAGGTAAAAGTAAAATTGTATGAAACACATATTTTGTTTTTAACCGATAGCATAGCGACACGGTTTGACTTATTTGCGTCGGCGACGAGTAGTACGCTATGCAACGCCAGAACGCGAGCAAGGAACAGTGGGGATATCAGGGGCGTAGTAGAGAGTCAGATTTACAGAAATTAATTATATTTTGATAACTTTCTGAGAGTAAGCAAGAAAAACTGCGTTTGTTCACACAATTTGAATTTAAATAGATAAAACATGATTCAGAAAATCTTCTAAGGTCTACATTTTTTTCTTTATATAAAATTATAGGATGGTCAGTATTAAAAGAGTGTTTGAAATTAATAATGTGCTCAGAAAACATTGTTTTAAATTGTCTAGGGTTTTTTGAATTATAAATATGTTGATTTATTCTTTTGCTAATGTATTGAGAACATTCACCGATGTAACAACTGTCACAATCTAAACAATTAATTTTATAAACGGCATCGGTGATTCTGTCAGACGGAGATTTAGATTTTAAAGTAGAAAACAGGGTACTGAGTGTGTTATCAAAAGTAAAAACTAAAAGAAAACCTTCAACCGAAAAAAGTTTTTTTAAAAAATAAGAAAAGCTCCCTAAATAAGGTAAACAAATAATGCCTTTATATTTGCTAATAAAGAAGAAGAATTTGAATCAGCGGTAAAATATTTTTGAACAACGGATGTGACATTATTATTATCAATATTGGTAACGTTTAAATATATATATATATATATATATATATATATATATATATACTAGCCGGCCCGACAGACTTCGTCCTGTCAAAAAAAATTGTAATGTGGCGATGTTTTGTGCCTATCTTTTTTCTATTCCTGAACAGAACCGTCACCCTGGTAATAATTCGGTGTGAATTAAAAATAATTAAATAAAACACTATAAGCATTTAAAAGTAAGTAATTTTAATAATACAAATCATAATTCAAAAATCAGTTCAATTTTCATTGTAGTGCTTTGTGATAAACGATGTTTTTTGTTTGATTACCTGGCGCATAGACAAAAAAATCTGATGGTTTTCCAATACGGAAACAAACAACATACAATTTTCCATGTGAGAAACATGGGTTTTCTAAATTAATACCACAAACACTTAATGATACCATAAACGCACTGGAAACGCATTGGGATGCATGGTGCAAGAACATCTTCTGCTTTATACTATCCTTTGAGTATAGTTGGTCGATATTTCGCAACATTATAATTTCCGATCCAACCTTTAATTGAAGATTGTGAGGTGACAATCCTAGCAAATCCAGCGAGTTTAAAAACTCCGGTGGATCGTCTTGGTTAGTTGCCGAATCAACTGTTTCGCCTGTAATTTGTTCTTGAATTTTGAAATTTAATTAATTTACATCAATGTTTTTGGCTGCCAATATAGCTTGATTAATAGAAAGATATTTCTATGTTTATACAAATATATTCAAAATTATATTATCAAAAACTACACAAAATGTCATGACATAGATCATTGTTTTTTTTACAAATTGCGTTGCCTACTCGATTAAAGAATAAAAGGGCTGTTTTTAGGGTTTTCCCGGCAATTATTCGTTTTTTTCTCGCCGTAACAACCATCCTTGGACTTCAACGAACATTTTAAAAAAAGAATTGGCCAAATTGGTCCAGGCGTTGTTGAGTTATGCGCTTACCAACACATTTTGCGATCCATTTTTATATATAAGAAGATATATATACGAGTATATATATATATATTATCTTTTATTTCTGGGTTTTTATTTTTCATTTATATTAGGTTTTCGCATTTATATTTAGGTTATTTGTACATAAAACTTTCCAATTAGTTTACATTTTTTTAAATATAATCAATACCGGAAATTGCCGATTTTAAAATAGGAAACATCGAAATAGCGGTATCGAAATTTTTTATTGGTGTTGCACTCCCCAGTCTTGACTAACAATAACGTAAGCTTCGACGCCGCGACAAAATTTAATCGCTGCATATATTATATTGACGATCAAATTAAAGTTATTTAGTTCACCGATACTTACATAAATAAATAAACGTGAATACTATTATCTGTATTTTTGGTTTTAGAACCGATATTAGTATTTTTTTAATATAATTGAAATTATATACAATATAAATACAATAGTTTAAATACAGAACAGGTTTCAATTTTATAAATCAAAAGCTTAAAGTTTCAATTTTATAAATAAAACTAGTGGTAATTTAAAATTTCTTCAAGCTTAGAAAGGAAAAATTAGATTTTTGTTTGAAAATTTTAAATATTTTGCTTTGAAAATCAAGATATTTTTGAAAATTTTGATATTTTTGAAAACTTTTTTTCAAGTACAGTTGATCCGTCCTGTCAAAAATGCCGAGGACATTTATTTGAACCATATAAGGTAACTTTAAACATTGTAAATCTTATTAATGTACGTAATGTAAAGTCTTATGGTACATATGCATTATAAGACCTCATGATATCTAGACGATATTAGAATATAATATATTCATATATGCTATAACACATATATATATAAAGTTTATAAGGTCAACATATGTTTATAAGGTCTATATATGAAAATGGAAACAAAATCTGCACTTATTATTAAAATCTCCACAGAATACATATCTGATAATTGGCATAAAATAAGAACATCAATTAATTATTTTAACATATTTATTTATCATATTTTACTGAAAATTTAAATATCATAATATAATTGAAGTAAAATTTGTGTAATTTTTGACTCATTTAAGAATCTTCTGGTTTGTCATCGGAATCTTTCTTTCTATTTGCTAAATCTTGTAAAGCTTTGCGTACTGTATCACTATCAGCTTCAACACCTGGTAAACTTTCCAATATAGCTTGAACATATGCAGGATCATCGAGATCCTCTGAATCAGCTTCCATATTTTCAGATTCAGCTAAACTTGGATTGTGAGGTTGTTCTTCAACACTCATCCGCATAGCATAAGCTATTTGCTCTTCTTCAGTCATAGTTGTAAAGTCAGGAACTGGCTGTTCTATCACTTCCATAGGTTGTTGCATTGACATAGCTAATGCACGCTCAAGCATAGCTTCTTCAGAAGAAGCTTCGGTAACAGTAGGCGGCACTCCGGATGTTGGAGCTTGATTTCTGCGTGCTTCAGCTTCTTGAAGATGACGTTGTTCCTCCATAGAAACACGCAATGCTAAAGCTAATTCTGGATCATCATTAGGATCAACTCCAAATTCAAATCCAACTCCTGAAGGTCCAGCACCCCCTTCACCTTGTATGACTGGTGAAGAAACAAGAGCATCAGAAAGATGTGGTCCAGGAGAAACAGTTACCAAATGAGAAGAACCTCCTTCTTTGCCATTCAATGCATTAATGAATGCAGATAATGTTTCAGTATTGATAGCATCTTCTCCAAATGAAACCATATCAACACTAACTTTTTCTTTTTTTAAGCGCTTTGCAAGACGAACTAAATCTTCTTGATCAGCATTAACTGGTGAGCCAACAAAAGCTACTATGCGCATTTTATGGTTTTTTCCTTGTCTATGCTTCAGAGCTAAATGAGCAATTCTAATGCCAGTTACCAAATTAATATCCCCATCAGGTTCAACTTTGTTCAGTTTGGCCATAACACGGCCTACATCACTAGTGAGAGTCGCTAGAACTTCAACATTAGCTAAGGTAAGTAATCCTACGTTATTTTCAGGATTGGAGCGTGTTTTAGATTGGCACACTAAGCTTACAGCATCTTGTTGAGCAAGAAGTCTTGATGGTAGAAAATCACCATTACGCATGAAGTTGCTGTTGTCAACACAAATCATAGTACTCTCCAACACCATGATGAATTACTTCTAATCTAAAAATATTAATCAAATTTATAATTTTTTTCAAGATATTCAATTTTTTTAATATAATTCACAATATGTATATATATATATATATATATATATATATATATATACAATGTTGAGTGTTTAAATTTGATGTTAAAATGTATGATTAATTTCTTGGAAGGCGTAACATCAAATGAATCATTCATTCATATATTTATATATCTTTAACGCACATTCACTCATTCTTATATCGCAAAACACTTGCCGCGATTTTTTAAATTTTTGCTTCGCACACTTACAAGTTTTAAAGAAATTAAAAGTTCCTCGGATGATCGACATCTCTCTTTATTTCGTTTAAAAATATTTTATATCAAAAAGTAACCGCTGACACTTCATTCCAATTATTAATTTATTACTTACATATTAATTAATTTATTAATTACAAATTAATTGCCATTACTATGTATTTGTGTTAGTCTAAGAAACTCAAATAAAAAGTATTGTTCCTTGTAGGTGAAGGAAAAAGTTCGAAGCATTTCTGTAGTGAAATTCAACTGGATTTCTTTATAGCGTGAAAGCAAATTTATTTACACTAAATCTGTTCCAATTTTATCGACAATGTTTTACTATTTTTTTGGTTAAAGTCATGAGATCATCGGTTGAGAACTTGTGGTGGTTTTTGGTTGAAACTTAACCAAGTGCTTTTACAGGCTTCATTTGAAATCAGTTTAATTCCTTTAAGAGAGTTCTGCAGTGATCAAAATAAATGTTAGCCAGAGGGTGCATTGTCTGGACAATACGGTGGATGCATCATATTTCTCAACCAAGCTTTTGCAACTTGCAAAACATCAAAAAATGTATGATCGAGCATTGTCATGATGGAGGACAATATCTTCAATTCAGGCGTAATCTCTGTAGTTATTTACAGTATTGAACATTAATCGTCGCACCAACTTCAAGTAGCTTACAATTGACTTGATTATTCAAAAACGTTTTTTCTGTAAAATCAATAGTTTTAGCGTTCGCGCCGCTATAGGACCTAACGGTATTTAACCGCATTTTGCACTTGAACGCATTCTCTCTAATAAATAATTTCAAGCTTTTCTGCTTAGGTCTGCTATGAAAATAACAAAATTTAATTATTCTTGTTTTCCATTTTTATTACGAGAATCTTTTTTGAGGAAACCTGTACAATGGGTGGGGAAAAATTTTGGGTGATTGAATACAAAAAATCTTTGATCTCTTTATAAATTTTTCTCGTATGGATAGACGTGGTAATGTGTGCTTACAAAAGATCTCAAAAATTTCACTACATGTATCAGCAGAAAAGAAAAAGGACTTAATAACATTACTACCATTGCTTGATGAAATATTCCATTGTTTTTATCTTAATTTAAAAACCGAATACTATGCAGTAGTTATGGTTAATATTGTTAATTAGTAATTATATAATTTTGTTAAGAAAGAAAAATGTTTTTCTGTTCAATTATTTCACAGCTTTATGTAAATTTATTTTTCTACGAATTTTTTCAAATTCATCTCATCTCAGATGAGCCTCGGACACTGGTACAAGTCGTTGCAGAAATTACTTAACTTTTTACATTTTTGTCAAAAAAATAATCTTTTTTTTTATATTTCATATAAAAAAGTATAAAAAATTCATTGTGTTGACAAGTTAGTTGTAAGTGCTAATTTTTGGGCTGTGTACACATCTTTAGATATTCTGATGACATTAAATTGAATGTCGAAACATTTGTAATTAAAGATTAATTTATAAATTTTTGTTTTTTTCTTTGATGCATCGCCCTATCAGAACTTACTCATATCTCAACATCAAAAATAACTACTAAATATATATATATATATATATATATATATATATATATATATATATATATGAGTTGAAAGAAAAAACAAAAACTACATACAACTGTACAACTGTAAAACTCAAAAACTGAAAAAAAAAACGTTTTCTGCAATAATAAATAATAAGCTAATAATTTCGATGTTTGACGTAAATTTTATATAGAATCTATATTTTTTTGTAAATCGGTTTGAACAAAACTTAATTTTTAATAGTAAAGTATGTATAAAAATTCTTTTTTTTTAATGAAACTGAACTATTCGTAATGTACTATCTACACAAAAAATGAATAGATTGTTTGTATGTGCCAAATTTTACGCTTACCAAATAAACACTTTTTACATATTTCCTGAAGAACTGCGGTTTTCTGAACACGTTGACAATAGAAATATAATGACTTTCAATTCATTAATTCTTTTCCTCAAAAACGTAAAAATTAAAGTTATGGTTAGCACTTGATAAAACAAAGGTCTCAAAATCTTTTTACTTATCCCCATGAGAAGTTTTTTATCCACAGTATCAACCATATGCAAAGAACAGAATATCAGGTATCTCGATTTTGAAAGAACAATTATGCATTTTGCTTGAAACTGTAAACTTGCCATATGAATCAACACAACAAATAAAATATGAACTTTTATGTTAAATGGAATATAAACAAAAGTAAATTTAGTCATAAAACATATAATTATTGGTTTATCTATAATAAAATAATATTCAATCACCCAAAAATTAAAAAGATATCAAAACAACCTTGATGGTATGTTATTGGTATGAACTAGAGAATATGCTAATTAGTTAGTATGATGTTATAGGCACCTTATATATTATATTCTGTAATAGCAAAAGTTAACGTTGTCTGGTATTTAGTACAGATCACATAAGATACGATTATATATAACTTAATCTGGAATCAATAGAAGCCATAACTAAAAATATCAGGGTAATATTCAAAGTAAAAATTTATTAAAATTTATTAAAACATATATATATATATATATATATATATATATAATATAAGTATATAATAATAAAGATTTTAAAATTTATCTATATTCACTTCCTCAAAATTTTTGGATTTAAAATAATCAACAGCTCTTTTAACATTATCAGGTGGCAAATTATGCAGCAAATGAGTTCTAGTTAATAGACTTTCAATTCCATCTATACAATATGTAGAGTCACTTGATATATGTTGTGCAATTGATAAGCCACTTAGCGTGTAACATGTATGATAAAAGTCTCTTGGTTTGCCAGGTTTATCTATCAATCCCCCTCGAGGACTTTGGCAAGCCATTAAAATATATTCTTGTAAACAACTATGATCAAATAAAATTTCTTTTGCCAATAAACTATTTTGAATTGTATCAATACTTTCAAAATTTTCCAATATGTTTTCACTACTTTGATTTTGTAAGATCAAAGATTGAATTATTGGAACAGTTGCACCTTGCCAAAAAGAATAGCACCCATCCACTAGTTTATTAGTTCGGCCTTGGAAGCCACCTTCAAGCCTCATTTGTCGATTCACAGTCCAGCGAAGTAAATTTTGAAGATTGCATGTGCTCGAGTTATTTAGAAGAGCAAGACCTGCAGCCCCACAAAATGAATAGCCACCATGTGCCTCATTGCCAGGTGAACTAGCAAAGCCTCCTTCATAGGTCTGACAACTAGCAATCCAGTTTGCAGTGTTTTCAAATAGTTTTGGATCCTCAATTCCAGACAATTTTGCTACTGCAATTGCACAATATGCCCCCCTAATATCCAATTCCCCATTTTCATGGAGACAAAAACCACCATTACATTCCCTAACAGTTAATAAGAAGTTATGAAGACTTGTTCGATCTATTGTTTCATAGGCCTGTGGTGTACCTATTAAAACCAAGGCATTCACTGCAGCGTAAGTAGAAGCTAAATGCGGCATCTGATATGGACCTCCACAAAATCCTCCTTTTGGATCTCTGCATTTCTCAAGAAACAAAACTACACGGTTTTGTAGATCCAGTGAAAATTTATGTCCAAGCAATGTTGCTGCATTCAATATCCAGAACACTAACCAGGGCCGACTCGAGTCGAGACATTCATAGCTTGTTGATAAATAGCTCAGAGAGTTTGTAAGGAACTCTATATGATTTTGTCTCTTGAGTAAATTCATATCAGGTTCTATTTGCAATCTTAATGAGTAATCATAAAACATTTTGGCAACATCATTTTCAACCAATTCCTGTTCCTTTGATGTATGTGTGACATGATTCTCATGATTAAATTTTTGCTCTCGCACTTCATTGCACGTTCGTACAGAGTTCTGTGTATTTCTTCCAAATGGATTATTAAACATTTTCTGTCCTGCCAATCAAGAATGTATAATTTCAGCTATAACCTTCATAGTTTCATTATGCTGAGAGCTCATTAATATAAAAATATTTTTCATAATTACATGTAATTGACCAGTAAGAATGTGCAAAGGTTCATAATCATTTTCACTTATAATCATATATATATATATATATATATATATATATATATATATAAATATGTATATATATATATATATATAATTTCAAATCGAACAACTTGTTAAGTCAATTCATAATCAGGAATTAGTGTATCATCAACATTGCCAAAAGTTTGTTACTTCATATCAATTTTGCAGTTACAGAATTATCTGAGCAAAAGAGACACTAAAATAATTTGCCACTAACATAAAAGTAACACGTTTAAGAATAAAAAATCAGATCACATTTTAAATACAAAAGACGTATCATATCAAATATTGTTATTTGTAAAAATTCACTTACGTCCTATCGTAGCGCTATCTGTCATCACAGTACGATAGAGCAATGATACATTTGCACTTCGAAATAAAATATTGTTAAAAATGTTTATGCGAAAATTAAAAATAATCTCTCAAGTGAATTCATTAAATTCTTTTGTTTACAAACGATGTAGTACTGCTATTGATAAAACACTCGAAAAAACAATGAACGCACAAGATGAAGTGAAAAAAGCTCAGAAAACCAATTATGCACCAGGGACTTCGACAATATTTGATAAAATATTATCGAAAGAAATTAAAGCTGATATTATATACGAGGACAAGTTATGTATGGCTTTTAATGATGTTAATCCTCAAGCACCCGTACATTTTCTAATTATTCCCAAACGAAAGATTGCGAAACTGGAACATGGCGGACCAGATGATGTAGAGGTTAGAATGAGTTTACACTTTTGATTAAATTAGAAAAAATTAACTACTATTTTTTTTACAAGCTATATTTATTTACCTGCTTTGTATGAATTAAAGTGCATAAAATTTATCCAAAATTCGACGAAAACTGCTTGCTAATAATTGTTTATTGTTCAACTAAACTGACACCGATTCAACTATGCTTTTGAGTTCTCCATGAGAACGCTTGTGTTTGTTACTTTACTAATCGTATAACTTGCCTTGTCATGTCGTAACTTCAGATGGTCAAGTTTGTATCACATCGCATTGTGTTCGCTGATTTTAAATTACGATTTTATTATAGAAAAACTTGATAATTTAAAGTTATTGGCTATTTCATGATTATTTTTTCATTGTGATTTAATAAAAATAATTTAGAAACAATGGACGGATTGGCGCAAATGCATATTTTGAAACGCATTTTCTAACCAAATCCAAAGACTGTTTTCGTTTGTTCGTTTAACATACTTCGTTTTATATAAACCATATTAAAGTATTTCTTAAATTAATTTACGATTTAATATTTTCATACAAAATGCACGAAAACAAATCTCTATTAATAGAATATTTGCATAAGAATCACTTCATCGACATTTAAAATAATATTTACAATACAATTAATTAGTTCTATAATAAAATTATTTTTAAACATAAGTATTTATGAAATTATTTTCCAGAAACTATTAGCTTTTTTAATTACTTTTTATGCTATAATATGCTTCAAGTTAATATTTAAATACTGTATAATTAATTGTAAGGCAAAAATTGAATTCTAAATAAATTTGTAATTTTTTACATTAAGATTACTCTTTATCTAAATTACACTCGTGATTTAAATTTATTTATTTCTAAATCTATCAAACAATAAAATTTTGCTCTTTTCTTAAATTCAAGTAATAAGATATGTTTATGAATTGCACTTTAGTCTGTTGTATGTTGCAATATACAGTGTAGATTATACACTCACGCCGGGAAAAGCTAATATAGCTAAATAAGGATTATTGTCTCTCTTGGTAAGTCTCCCAATTCTGGGGCGATAACTACCATTTGATTACCGTAAGATCGCAATTTACAAACCTGAGAGATTATTTTGACGTCTAACATACATGTAGAGTTAATAGCTATACGAATATTCATTTGTGGATCAAACTTTCTCAACAATGGATCAATTACATTTTATACTTATTATTTTGATTTTATTAATTAATTAGATTTAGAATCAATAAGGTGATATTGCTGTAAATGAGCAATTAGAAACTTAATTGTTGCGTACCATTTTTTTATTAAATAAATTCTAAATGAATTCTAAATAAATTCTCTATAAAATGCATTATATTTTAATAGAATTATTGATAAACTTATTTTATTTAATTCAAGCATTGAATTATGATAAATATGTGCATATATATAATTATTTTGTATATTTTTGATTTCTCAGTTATTTGGTCATCTAATGTTACAAGCAGGAATTCTTGGCAAGAAAAAAGCGCCGAACGGTTTTCGAGTTGTTATAAACAATGGGAAAGATGGGGCTCAATCAGTTTATCATTTGCATCTTCATGTTATTGGAGGTCGTCAAATGAAGTGGCCCCCTGGCTAATATTTTATGCCATTTATAGGTCAACATAAAACATGTATATATTCAAAAATATATAATATGAAGTAATAATTTCTATTTTGTATGTATTATTTCATAAAATATATACACGATCACATACAAAAGTATCAATCTACTACATTATCTGAAAAACATTTATAACATTTTTGAGTAGCAGTATAACAGTTTAATATTATACTGTTGGTTGTTTATATAAAAAAGTTGGTTTGTTCATATACAAAAGTATCATCCTACTATTCTTTATGAAAAACATTTATACAATTTTTCAAGTAACCATTTAATATTATAAGCACAACTTTTGGTTGTTATACTGCACATATCAGCAAAATCACAAAAATCTTGATTTGTTCTCTGAATTTCAATGAACTTATCTAATGGACATAAGAAATTGTTAGATGAACATTCAGGAATCTTCATTGGCTGTTCTTGATGTAACAGGAGTATGTAAGGATTTTTAGAGTTATCACAACTGAAATATAAAAAAAATTATTCAAGTATAGAAATTTCAGACTAGTATGATAATAATTCATAAAACCTTACCTATGCATAAAACTAATAAATAACATACATTGTTAATTTAAAATGTTTTCTTTTTATTCAATTATCTTTTAATTGAATTGAGCTTCTTCTGCATGAATAAAAAAATATTTTGAAGATGTTACTAATTTATTGAAACAAACATTACCTATATTTAACAAAACCTATATTGGATCCAAATGCATCGATCTTGCTTACTCTCCATTGTCTATCAGGTTTTATTTCATGGGTTAAATGTTCGGCATCTTTATACAAACCCAAGTGAGCAATTAATTTTAGTATTGTTCCAGAATGCGTGAAATAAAAAACTGATTGCGGTATTCCAACACTACAATAATATAAATAAAGACAATAGATAATTGATTCTTAATATGGATTGTAGAATATAATCTTACTCAAATAAATGAAGCATATCTCTTATCATAACACAAGCTTGTTCATGCGTTAAGTTGAAACCGTATCCATCAATCCAATAATATTCCAAATCTTCTGCATATTCCAAAACCTATTAAAAAGTTTATGTAGAAGGTAATATAAAAATCAGAAATAACATGAGAACACAATATGTTGAATTTTCTAATTTAAGCTTTCAATGTAAAAATTTATAATTTGATTCTTGTAGATATAAAATATACCTCGAATTCAGAAATTGTGAATACTGAACACCAAGCACCTTTTCTGTCATCATTCCAAGCAGTTTCAAAGGCGCAATAGGAGTACATGTAGAAAATATCTTCTATACAAGAATACATTAAAGTATTTTAATGAACAAATTAAATAGATGTATATAAAAACCAGAAAACTAAAGATTTTTTTGTAAAAAAGGAGTAAGCAATGATCAATAAAGACCAAATTTATTGAAATATATTTGATTATATAAGTATTTATTGAAATACTTACCAAACTCTAAATAATTTACTGGCAAACCAAGTCTCTCAGTAACGGTTCTTATTAAATTCTTCACAAGATCACTTTTTTCAAATTTATTTCTTTCTTTCACACTTTCTGGATTTTTGTCAATATCGAATTTCCATTTATTACAGCGTTTGTAAAACTAGAAAAAGACGAAGTCTAAAACAAATATGCAAAAACATAAATGAATTTGAATAATCTTTGATTTATTGACTTAAATTTAATTTATAAATAATACAATATATATATATATATATATATATATATATATATATATATAAAACAAAATAGTAATTACCCTTAATATGGGATCTTTAGATAAAGGGCTGGGATACCATACTTGACTGCTGTTAAATAATCCAAAGATGCCTTTAGCAAACCATTGCGCACTTTGTTCTGTCCTTTGACTTTTAGTATATTTAAACTGCAAAAAAAATTAATATAAATTTAGATGTGAAACTATGATGAATATATGTAGTAATAGCAATTGTAGGTAATTACCATATATGATGAATTTGAAAATGATGCAGGAAATAGCTCAGGAAGTCGCTGTCGCATTCTATTAGATAGTTCCATTAACTCTTTTTGCCCTTCTTTTGTAAGAAATTTTTCATTTCCTAGTAAATCACTAGGTGCTTTCCATTGCTGGAGATTCTTTGAATTTTCGAAACATAATGTTGCTAAAAATGTAGGACTCTTATCTTAATTTGAATAAAAAAACACTGCATGAAGAATTACTATGAATATAAGTATCAATACTGTGTTAACTATAATAATTTACCCTTGAACACATTCAGATCATTATATACATACATACATATATATATATATACACACACATATATATATATATATATATATATATATATATATATATATATTATATAGATATTTACATGGTTTCGTATTAACAAAATTATCCACTTGGAAGAGAGAGCAAGATCATAAAAAAAAAAATTGAATGAGAGGTTGCTGATAATGAGAAAGTTCTTGATCAATAATTAATGAAAGTTAATGAAAAAATAGAAAAAAGGCAATGATAAATAATAAAGAAATTGTGTCACACTTTTATAGTGCAAGTCCTCATACAACTTTGTAAAAAACTAATTCAATTTAACTAGCAACTAAAATATTCACTAATAATGATAAAGCAAAACCATAAGAATAAGTGGCTTATAAATCAGCTTTTAAACTAATCATGAGTCAAAAATAAATTATGTTTATTTTTTTGTAAAATACTGAGCTTTACTTTAGATTATAAAACATAAAATAATTTTTTCCCAACCTATCTATGATAAATTTCATAACTTCCTACTGATATAAATGTGTAAATAAAATAATTTTAAGATTTAATTTGAAGCAAAAATTAAATGGTTAAAGGTAAATCATTTGGCTTTATTGATGGTTATTGATAAATTTCAGTCATTGTCTAAAGTGTCATTGAGCAACTAATAAAATTAATATATTGTAAATACACAAACTAATATACATTATTGTTAATGCATGTAATATAATGAAACACAAACAAAAGTAAGAAAACTGTAAGTTCAATTGCTTGCTACAGAACTAGTGCACTTAAATTTCAATTAAAATAAATGTACATACACACATACATTATAAGAACTTTACCTTTCTGTTATATTAATACATAATTGATAAATTGAAAATGTATGTGTTAAATTCTGATTCTTACATTTCGAAAGATTCTCCAGAAACTTTTGTTGAATTTGAGTCAAGCGATCTAAAGCTCTGATGTATTTCCCACCGGGATTTCTAGTTCCATGTCTAATGACCATCCAAATTTGTCGTGGTGTACATCCTATTAGATAATTTTATTTTATTTTAATCGAAAAGTAATGACATTGAGAGTACATACCTGGAAATGTCAATTTGGAAACATTTTTATTTTCAACAAATCTATATGGTGTTTTAGTAGCTAAATGAAAATGAAAATTTTCATTTTTAACATCATTACAGTTATTGTTGCACCAGGTAAATGGAATTATAATGGATAAACAAATAAAATAATTATATTCATCGTGCGTTTTTAACATTGTTGTTGGGCACATGTTGCTTATCTGTCAAACGTCAGAAGAAGCAAAACGTCAGTTCTGAAAATAGCAGAGATGTTTCGTATATTGAAGTCTAGATGCCACCAATTTCACACCGAAGTTGCAATTTAACAAATTTCATGCATTTAATAAATGCAATGTAACGATTACAATATCAGCTAATAATTTCACACTGAAGTTGCAATTTAACAATTGAAATTATTAACTTTCCGCAGGGTAAGTTATAGTATGGTTCCTTATCTATGGTTATAGTAATCGCAAAAAATCGAAAATGAAAATTTTTATATTTCTTAACGTTTCAGAGGTTTCTAAACATTTGGGCATACTTAGGATGTATGCGTGTGTGTGTGTGCGGATACAAATTTTTGTCGATCATTTCGAGAACACGGTTTAAGCGATTTCAATTATTCAAACAACATTCGATTCCTTGCCAAAAGTTGCCAAAAAGTGCCAAAAACGGTAACTCAGTTTTTAAGAGAACGGATCGTCCGATTTTAGTAATTCAAAAAACATTTTACTTGTATTGACAAGATGAAGAACTGATTAGATTAGAAAAGTAAAAAAAAGTCATTTGGCGGTCAAAAATTCATTCATTTTATGGAGATTTTAATAATACGTATGAATTTTGTTTACATTTCTATGGGTTCCGTAATATAGTTTGCCCGTTAGACGGTGAGGCGGCAATTACGCGCTTCAATATCCCCTTTCCATGCAGCTAAATAAGCAGTACGATTGCTTTTAACAAAAGTTCAAAATTTCCAAAATATTTCAAAATAAAGAAAACATTTTTTTAACTTAACGTGATTTTAAGCTTAAATCATTTTTATGAGCCGAGATAGACAATATATATATATATATATATATATATATATATATATATATATATACATAGCTGGGCACCGTTAATCAAATAGTTAACTTCGTTAATCGTTAATCCGCTACAAAAAAAGTTAACTTCGTTAAACGTTAAAGCGTTACATTTCGGAAAAATTAACGCAAGTTAACGTTAATCGTTAATCCGTTAATATGTGTAAAATTACATTTTTATATCGTTGCGTTAGTGAACTTAAAAAACTTATTAACTTCCCGTAGGGCAAGTTATAGTAATCGCAAAAAAATCGAAAATGAAAATTTTTATATATCTTTACGTTTCAAAGGTTCCTGAACATTTTGGCATACCTTAGAAAAAATGGATGTATGTGTGTGTGTGTGTGTGTGTGTGTGTTGGTATGTATGTATGTATGTACGTGTGTGTATGTATGTGCGGATACAAATTTTCGTCGACGATTTCGTGCTGATTAGTTTTTGGCGAAGGCAGGTCTAGCCGTTCCAAAGATACGGGACAAAAAGTGCCGAAAACGGTAACTCAGTTTTTAAGAGAACGGAGCGTCCGATTTGAATAATTCAAAAAACATTTCACTTGTATTGACAAGATGAGGAATCGATAAAATTTTCATGATGGTAGGTCTAGCGGTTTCGGAGATATGGAGAAAAAAGTAAAAAAATGAGCCATTTGGCGGTCAAAAATGATCATTAGACATATGCACATCAAATTATCAGATA